AACACAGGCCCTGTGAACATGAGTGAGGGCTCTTGTGGTTCCCAACCAGAGTCAGCAATCTCTGTTGTCCATAGGGAGAATCAGGGCCCTACACACAGCAAATGATTCTAACAGTATCAACTGCTCTGGATGAAAACTCCTCTGCCATTTTTTCCTTCAAGACCAAGCGAGCCTCTAACATTCTTGAACAAACCAAAGAGTAGAGCCCTAATAAAACCAACGAAATAGTCTTCTACTAACCAGGGAGACCAGAGCATATGGATTTTTTCTTAATCTTTTAAAAAATGTAAGAAGTATAATATTATTACACCAGCATTACAGTTTATATGTTTCAATAGAGAAACGTAAACAGATCTAGGAAATTCAACTCAAATAAAGAGTGGACATAAATATGCCAACCCTAAAGGGCAATATGGTTGTCTTTGGCTCTGTGCTGTTCTGAAATGATCAGTCTGTGTTGAATGACAACATCTGTTTTAAAAGGGAAGTTCCAAAGCACATTTATTGCTATGACTTAACTTGAGCTTTCTGAAGAAAACATAATAGTTTTAAGAAAATATTGAACGTGGCTTTCAAAATCCCTAAGTGAACCTACAGATACAGAAAAATATGCCTAATGCCACATATAAAGGTCATATACCTTCTTGACCTTTCATCCAGGAGCCAAATTCAGGTGGGTACCTACAACTTCTCAGCTACTGGTAGATGACCACAGCCTCTTACCTCAACCTGTGCATAGATCTATGCTCAACCTGTGCATAGATTTCAGTAATCTCATCAGTTGCCGAAAGTGAAACGTTGGACTCTGATCTTGCAAAGCAAATAACTCTTTGGGTTAACAAAGGGTAAAAGTTTCCATGGGAAATTCCACATATTATAATCACCCTGGGAGGACCCACATTGGTACACCAATGTGTTCCAATACTATATTTCCTATGAACCAACTAAAGTCCAATTCCTGGAAGGAACGCTTCTTGGTTCCTACCGTACCTATCAAATGCCTGCACTCCATTACTGAGGTATTGAGCATGTTCAGAAAGCATGCTCCCTCTCTTGGTCAGATCACTTCTATACCACTGCCTCGAGCTTTGGAGACCACAACTTAGGAAGCAATATTGAGTAACTGGAGTATGTCCAAAGAGTGTAATCAAGATTGTGAAAGTAACTTCAAATGACAAATGATTGAAAAAGAACGGGCGACGCTTAGCTGGAGCCAAAAAAAAGACTGTCTTATACTCTTCTCATTGCAATTTCATAGAAAAGGTTTGTTTTGCCTGGGAAAAGGGCTTGTTTTTCGTTGGTTATAAGAGGTAAGCAGATTTCAGATCCATATAAGGAAGTACTTTCTCATAATTAGAATACACTGTTTTGTCAACGATAAGAGTCACTTTCCTGAAATAATTCCCATTCACCATCGGCTAGCAATACTTTGGCACTAAACAAGAGATTGGACTCCTAACCTTAAAGGTAGCTTTAAATTCTGGGCTCCTAATAGTCTGTATATTTGATTAACTCATAACATATTAAACACAGTTTTTACATGAGAATTTTAAGTCATTCTGGAACCAAGAGTTTCTTTTAAAGCAACTTGTTAAGTCAGAAACATTTGATTTGATGCCAGTAGATATAATCCCCATTACCTTACAGATTGCTAAAACTGTGAAAACATAAACTTCAATGTTAGACTTAGGTTCAAATCTCTCCTCTCCCATTTAAAACCTGATGTGACCTAGGCAAGTCCCTTAATCTCAATAAGCTTTAATTTCTTCATCAGTAAAATGGGATAATAGTATTTAGCTCACATTACTGTTGTTAGGATTTAACAGGATAATAAACATAAAGAGCTCAGCAAAGTTCCTGACTCAAAGAAACTCCTTAATAGAGGGCAATTGTTATCAGACATTATGCCTACTGCACCCCTACAACATGAGGTTGAAATGTGCTTTTCCCCTGCACTGTCTGAATCATGCCCCAAGACATACTAGACATACACACATAGAGGAAAATGAATGGGGAAGGGGAGGGACACAAAATTTTTTATGCATAATCCATAAGTAAATACATCTGAATACACAACTCTTTTTTTAAATGTTTCATTTTGATATAGTCATAGATTCACGTGCTGTTATAGGAAATAATACAGAGAGGCACATGTGCTCTTCACACATACCTTTTTATGTCATCTAGCTATTTTCTTATGTTGATAGGATTTGCTGTTAGTTTTCTGTCCTCCATCCAACTTACTGATGCAGACAGAGTGGAAATAATAAATGTTGCTGAGGGGACGTGGCCATGAAAGCACCTGTGAGTACTCTCCCTGCAGATCTGTGCAGTCACTCTCGGCTTTTCACTTAGCTTGTGACACTGTCACTCCCTGCTGAGTCTTCCTTTCTCGAGAAGCCCTGACCACTGCTTGGTGAAAAGTAGAACCCTTTTCTGTGAGGCTGAACTACTCGGGTTCTTGGAAAATGGTGGTGTTGTGGCTCACTGGGCAAAGGATGAAGTTTGTGTTTAACATTGGAATAGTCCAATTTCTATTGATTAGATCAATTAATATTCTAGCGCTCAGGTGAGGTAGTATGTTTTCTTTCCTCCAAAAACAATTACTCTGTATTGACTGAGCTCTAGGGGAAATGTTTCCTAGGATATAGCTGAGGTTGGTTTCAATACAGTTGGAGTCTTTCATGTGGAAAATTCTCTACTTAGCAATTACACGCAATGAGAAAACTTGAATTCATAAGTGGTTCAGTAAATCACAAGCCATGAAGAGTGCAGGAAAAGCCAAAAAGGGAAAGTCTGGGCATTTAGCCAAATTCACCTCACCAATATTTCCCAAAAAATGGCCAACAAAATCTTGTGGAGAACATTTTAAAAACACAGATTTCTGCACCAAAATATACCCATCCCCACTCCTGATGGTCCTAAATTCAATGGATTAAGGCAGGACCAGAGAAACAGAATTTCCACAAAGCTTCCCACAATATTCCACTCGGGAGCCCAGGCTGAGAACTACTGCTTTGGACCAGTATGTTTCACTGTGATGACTGTGCCTTCAGAGTAGGACAGAAAAAGTGAACACCTCCCTTCACCTCACTGTCAAAATTCTTAAATTCCTTTTATTTTAAAATTATTTTTACAATGATAATGATAAATTTCAGGTTTTCAAATTACTTAATGAAGATTATCTAGTTGAAGGTATTATAATACTAGTTTAATGAAAGAATAGGCCCTGAATTCATCACAAATTTGAAGAGAAAAAAAATACTATACTCCACTGCTGCCAGAATATTTCACTTGTGACCAAAAAAAAAAAAAACTCACCAAGCAGGGCCGGTCACAGTGGACCAAGTCTATAATCCCAGCACTTTGGGAGGCCAAGGTGGGTGGATTGCTTGAACCCGGGAATTCGAGACCAGCCTGGGCAACATGGCGAAACTCCATCTCTACAAAAAAATACAAAAAATTATACAGGTGTCATGGCATGCACCTGTAGTCCCAGCTACTTGGGATGCTGAAGTGGAAGGATCACTTGGGCCTGGGAGGTCAAGGCTGGAGGAGCGAGATCCCATCTCAAACAAAACAAAACAAAAACCCAAATCTCACCAATGCCAACCATCTTCTAGCTTATCCAGCAAGTGGTGAAGGTGGGTGAAAACAAGGTGCATGCCCAGGTACACCCCTCCAACGATGAAATCCAGACCTCTTTGACTGAGCTTCCCCCACCCTACCCCCCATCCCTTGCAAACTCCTCTGTACCCCACAGATCCCATGCTCAACATTGTCACTGTGTACATATATCAGAATCATACCTCTGAAGACCATAGAAAGGTCCAATCTCTTGTACTAGGAGCACTTTTTTAATTAAGAGCCTGCCTGAATTTGGAGCTATTACACACTATAGCAATAAAATTAAACACTGCCACTGTCTGTTCTTTAATAGCTTACACACATCTCATATTCAGAGTCCCCGAACTAGAATTTCAAGAAATAGCCCCTTCGTCTCTGTCGAATAATCTCTGCACAATTTTTCTCACTTCCTCTTCACTTCATAGACTATTTATAACTATGCTTAAAGTGTTAGACTCAAGTGGGCATACATGGCACATAAACATAAAAGAATATTAAGTCCATGAAAAAATGTTAGCCTGTGTCATGCAGTCTTGCAAGAACCTGGGAAGGATGGAGCCTAGAGGGATCCACCCAGGTGGTTCATAGAAGGCCTCATGAGGAGGTGCTCCTTCCAGAAAGAGGTGCATTTTAGAGATGTAAATCATCAGACACAGCAGATGAAATGACTGGCAAATACAGTGGAGCAGGTAGGTGGAAGCATATCCCTCACATACCAACATGCCCCAGTCTCAAATGATGACATCAGAAGATGGAGATGTTGTGTACAACCACACAGTGGGTCTCAAAGTCTGGTTCCCAGACCAGGAGCATCAGCATCACCAGGAACTTAGAAGCACAAATCTTCCGGCCTCATTCCACATCACTGAATCAGAAACTATGGGGTTGGAGTTCAGCAACCTGTGTTTTGACAAAGCCTCCAGGTGATTCTGATGCACCCTCAGGTTTGAGAACCACTCGATTACAGGAAATGGAAATCTGACAAGTCTGATCAGACATTTCTTCTCAGGTTATAAGAACCAAAACCTCTCTTCCCACCCCAGTGTCCTCTCTGCTTGCTACCTGTCTTCATTCCCTTCCACTCACCTCCTCTTCCGTCTCCTCCCTCATCAGCCCTTCCGCCTCACTACACACCAATGAACACCTGTACAGCATTCAAAGAACTAGAAACCAGCCTCTATTTCACCTTTTCTTGGAGAACATACTTCGTAATGTGTGCACAGCGCGCAGGCAAGGGGTGGAATTTCAACAATACCTAATTAAAGAAGACAACAACACGCATTTATCACATTACACTGTTGTGTTTTTACCCCTTGCCGCTTTTGGTGCATTTGCATATCACCTTTTATAATTCAATTCACTTGCTTAAATAATTTCTTTTATTTTCACATATTTATTCAGAAGGAAATTTCATTTTGCAGATCACCGGGGCCTCCCAGTGGCAATCATCTGTAATTTCAGACTGGAATTTTATTCTGAGACCTCTGGGGTAATGGTATCTAAATACTTAGAATTTCACCTGCTTGGTAGGAACATGAAACAGAACCAAAGCAAGCATTTCATCTAAGAGAGATTGCATCAGTTTCCCAGCTGAAATTTCCTCAGATGTTGGCTTTGACTTCTTGCATTTATCAAACTCCATCTTCAGTCACCTGCTTCGTAGAGATGACAATCAGCGGCCTTCAGGCTTTGCCGGTCAGCTCAAAAATCAGCCAGAAAGAAGGAAAATAAAGAGACTATCAGAGAGAAACATCCTGTTTCTCTTTCCTGTGACTGCTTTCCTCAATAACCTTGGGGTTACTCCCTCAGGTTTCCATTTTTACCATCCTACTTTTGAAGTTGTGCCTGCGCTGGGTAGCCATTTCCCACAAGATGTTTTAAATACATTTTCCCTCCTCTCTATTCTGGAATATTCAGTAGCTGCCTTGCCTCTGCTCTCCCCTGGCAGTCAGCACTATCCTCTGCACATCGTGCTCACAGGACAGCAGGACAGGCTCTGACATCATGGCAGCTCGCCGAGCCAACCCCCCCCACCACCACCTGCCCACCGCCCCGCTGCTGCATCTGCTTACATCCCGTCACCTGTTGGAGGGCTCCAGCCAAGGTTTATGGCTTACTCTGCAATATCACCCTCCAGGGACAGAGGTGCCTGGTCAACCTCAAGCTAATGGGCGCCAAAGGCCATTCACTTCCACTTAGACAAGCCCTTTGCTGCGGAAGGTGCTGGTGTCCTTCCAGGTTCTCACCAGGTCTCTTTCGCATTGGAAAGCTATGCTGCCTGGTCAATGTGTGCCCTCTCTTTGAAAGATTGTGAAAGGTGGTTTCCAAGAACTGGTGTTCTCACATCGCCCCAGGGCTTAATCCTGCTGAGGCAGGGAGTTATCGCCTAGTAACAGACCTATAAACATCAGCACCGTTCACAGAACACAGCCACAAACAGATCAGATGTTTTAAAGTTCAGTCCCACCCCCTTGGCCATCTCTGCCAAAAAGTCACCCGAGGGCAGCCCACACTTCATTCACTTTGTTCTTCCTGAGCTGTTGCCGAAGAAAAAGAACAGCGGTTGCTTCCACTGCGGCACCTCCTTTTTATAATAGGGTCTTTATCGCTCCCCACGCTGGTTGTTTTAAGATCAACATACACCTTTATATTAATTGCTCTAGTATGTGCTCAATATTCCTTGCAAAGAAAAACTTAGTGAAGTCTTTGCTGGGTATATAAGTGGATTCATAAAATTCTGCTCTTGGGGATATATTATGAACAGGAGTACATCTCTGCAGGTACATCTCAAGAGTAGGCCACTTAAGCTAATTTGTGCTCAGGCGGCAAACGAACACAAGGTTCACAAAACTGGATAGCTCCAAATTAGCTAGAATAAAATTAAAATTTGGAATTTCCTTGCAGGGCTCAGAGTGGAAAACTTACACAAGGTCATACTCTGTAAAAAGCACAAGCTTGGGTGTCATAGGGACAGAGGTTCCCATCCTAACAACTGCCACCCATGTGTAACCTGGGAGGAGGCTTATTTCTGCTAAGCTTCAATATCTTCATACATAAACTGGGTTAATGCCACTTGGGTTGTCAGGATAATTCTGTGAGATGCTATACTGGAAATCTCTAAAAACAGACCTGAAAGTAGTGAGTATTCCACTGATAATGGTTATTACTTCAGCAAAGGTTCATAAAAGCCACAATCTTTCTAGTGAGTCATCAGAACAGGTCACTCCTATTTGCCTCCAAAGCTTAGCGCACACCCTTCCTTCTGCCTAGGACATGTCCCATCTCTCCTCTCTGCCCTCACCTCCATCTCCTTCATGCAGCTACACCTTCTCTTGGAAGCCCTAACTATTCCCTGGTTATAGGTTAGGCTCCCACTGCCAGGACACGTAGCACTGATTGGTTTTCATGTATTTCCCCAACCAGGCCATCCCCAGCTCTGCCTCTGCCCATCTGTGCCGAGCTCACGATCTCCGTGAGGACTGGCCCTGTCTGCCTGTTCACTATTGTGTCTGTAGCCCCTGCTTGGCACATCGTGGGTTTTCAGTAAATGTCGAATAAATGAATGAATGACAACCATTAGAGGCTTCCAAAAGAAGAAAAACTAAAATTCAAGGAAAGTAAAAGGTAGTTGCATTCATTATTCTATTTATTGTGCATTAATTAATAGTTGCATTCTTATTCCCTTTAAGCCTCCTTGAATTATTTCTTCAAAGAAAATATGAAATCTGTTCCCAAAAGTTCTAGCACTTTGTTCCCTTGACCCCTTGAAAGTTGCACAAAATGTTTCCTTAATTTCTTCCCAATACGTGATCACAAAATGTACTTATTATGTTTTACATCTTCTAATTCTTAAATTCACTATCTATTAATCACAGAGATACTAAGGAAGGAGGAAATCCTTGGTAGAAAAGTGTTAATAATTTACCAGTTGCCAGGTGTACTTTTACCTGTGCCTGCCAGGTAGGTAGAAGCATTACTCATGCTTTTTAATCTAAGAATTTCTTACATTTTTATGGCCTGTCCTTTGGGCTTATTTATGATAGTTTGTGACAAAGAGACAACCTTTGTCATTATGATTTACACTCTACTAACAAAGAAAACACAGAAGTAGATAAGAAAACCCAAATTAAATCATGACACTAACAATTTTTTTTTTAATTCAGTAAAGTTAATTTAAAATTAAAACAAAGATATAGGCATTACAGACTATGGAGAATGGAAATATAGAAATTTTAAAATGTAAACTACAAAATCTAGCATTTGCCAAGTAAGTCACTTTAAAATTTTTAGACTTACATTTGTGGCATCATGAAATAATGCCCAACTCTTAAAATATTTTTAATGGCATGTTTTAATCTTACTCTGTTTGTGCTTTTGTTTGGAAAACCAAGAAATGTGTTTTGGTCTGGTAAAGTGTTCGTGGTCAGCAGCAAATATTCAATATTTTTCCATGTTTTTTTCATTAGTACCGTTTATCACAAAACTGACCTGGACATCTGTTATCATTTTTAGCGATCCCTTGAAATTCCTTGATGGTAAGTGCCAATTCTAAAACTTGATTGGATTTCAGGAAAAGACAACTGCCTTAGAAACAAAAAAAAAAATGAGAAAATTGAGAGGAAAAAATCCTGCCTTCGAGCTTACCCAATAAAAGCACCGCTCGTGATAGAGACCAAAGGTTGGTTCAATCAAATAAGCAGTCAATAGTGTATGCCCAGCAATCTAAATACTACTCAGCTATATGAGATCTGAGTAAACACAAATGTCCAGCTCGGGAATTCTTCAAAAAGGAGTTAATGTGACCTCAGAACTAACTGATGCTAACCAAGGCACCTAAGACACAACTATCCCGTTAACACTATGGTATAGTTATACAGAGCGCTGTCTTTGATTTTGTGTAGAACTTCGAAGGAGAGCAAACATTGACACTGGACTTGCAGGTAATATCCTACACTTAACTTCATGTCACAAACTCAAACATGGCAATACCTGGGTATGGAACTCATTCACAAACCACTTCCAGGCTTCGTAAAGAAGACAGAAGGAACTAGGTCCACACACTTACACGCTAACACAAATGCCTATAATTTTAAAATTTTGCTGTGTCTGTATTCCCACTAACACTTTTGCGAATTATTCACTTGCTCCATTCCCAATTTTATTTCCTATTACTGCCTTATAATTTATATGTCTTAAAAATGCATATTTTTGACCATTTTAATTTCCTTCACCTACAGATTTCCATGAAAACTAAATTAAAATGAAGCAGAAAGAAGCACAGAATATTAAATCTATTTTAGTCTTACCAATTAGCTTACTCGTCTGATTTACTTATGGTTGAGTTTAATTCTTTTATATCTACTATCTACAACCCAAAGTCCCTAGCTTGTTTTTAAAGCTAATACCCGCAAATGTCTTCTTGAATCAAAATTCTACTCAGCAGATATGTTTCACTTCCAAATGATATTCAGAAATTATTTGTCTGCTCATGTGCAAAGGAGGCATGGTCTCTCTCTATAAAGACTGGGCATTCACTGAGAACGCCAAGCTCCTAGGCTCTGAGGCCTTAATGGAAAAAGAGAACAGCCTCTTCTGTTGTTTCCTCATCTTTTGTCTTCCATAATATTCAATATTCTATTTGGCTGCAGATACGTTAGGAAGTTACCCAATGTCACCAATTCTTTATCCAAAAGAATGGGAACAGAGTATGAATATGGAATGAAAAAACAACTTTTTAAAATAAATTCTGGTAGACAAAAATGGGTACAAATAAAAGGGATACATCATTACATTCCAAGATAGAAGGCTTTAGTGCAGTACCTAGTTTCCAAAAGACCGCTGATGCGGTCTAGAGAACAGAACTCTCACGGTTACCTGTGCGTAATTTTAAGCTGCAGAGAATGCCCTGCCAGTTGGGGTGTCTTCTGTGGAGTGATAGCTCTTCTGTAATATCCTACATTAAAACCTTGACAATCCGTAAGTTCATGCTATTGGAAATGCAGAAAGTTACTGAAAGAATTGGACCGAGGTTTTTAATAACATAGTCTAACTTGTCAAAAAGCCAGATAAAAAAGTGCAAAACCTCATGGTATAACTCCCTTGGATTAAGTTAACAAATCGATTCCCAGTCATTAAAAAAAAAAAAAAAAAAAAAAAAAAAGGTAAGGTAGAAAAGGCCTATTCCAATTACATCTTTTGAAATTATTATAAAATTGGATCTAAAAAAGTATGGAGAAACTGCAGCAAAAAGATAAAAGAATTAAAGAATGAAGTGAACAGTAGAATGAAGTAGAAAAAGAGGGACCTGGTGTGTGGGGGTGGGGGTTACACTTGGGGAGTGAATGCTAAAAACAGAATAAAACAGTGAGTCTGGAACGCTGTGTTTGACGGATTGGCACAGAGAGAAAGAGGAACTTTTCTGAACTGTATGGTTGGTTTGGTCCTAATGCTAAATTTGAAAAGACACTTTATCTATTCTACCTAAAAATAATTTAGTAATGATATTCAAATATTTTCTAAGCAGAGGAATAATTTCCATTTGTTACCTGAAGGTTCCTGCTGCATTTACAACTCTCAGGCCCCTAGAAGCCTCTCGAGGAAGCTTTCGGGAACTTTAGAACTCCACTGCCAAGTTCAAAAACCACTGTGGTGTTAAATTCATGTTTTTTAGAGTCAACAGATACTCATGTAACTGGAGTAGGGGAGAGTGTGTAGAGTCTTCAAAATTATCTCCATGTACACACCCATATGTGATCTCTTAATGACTCGGGCCTAGTACTTGTTTCACTCTCTGTCTAGTCTTTTGGTCCCCTGAAGGAGCTTCATAAGCCATCTCTAAGCTGTTGACTCTAAATTTATGCACAGTGACTCAGCCGGACTCTCTTTCCCATACACTCTACACACTATATAGTGGGAAGATCTGTTGGATCTGGCAGCCACATACATCTAGAACTGGCCATTTCTTGCCACCCCAATGCAGGCTGCCTCATCAGATTGCCGCAGCCTCTCCCTGGTCTCATCTCTCCCCATTCTAGTCTCAAAATGCTAGCCAGAGTGGTCTTTACATGGGAAAAGGTTACTTCACTCCTCTACTCACAAAACCATCCAAAGATTCTCCATCCCACCGGAAGAAAAGCCAGAGCTCTTTCTGAGGCCTAAAGGTCATGCTGCACCCTGTGATAAGCCGCCCAGCTCCTCTTCAGGGTGACCTAATCCCCTGCTGCTGGAGGTGGTAGTAGGCATCCCCCAGCTGTCAACGTCTTCAAGACTATATCAGCTGATGTCACCTCACCCAAGGTCACAGAGTCTTCCCAGGGCACCTCATATCCAATGACTGGGCCACATGGGGTCATCAAGGCCCAGATACATCACCCCAATCAGGACAACTGCAGAGGCCACTCTCAGGCCAGTGTTCCATGTGGGGGTCACCTCAGACAGTTACTGGGCCTGTACTGCAGCTCGATCTGTTTCTATCCTACTTCCTGCCACTCCTTTCCATTTGTCTTCATCTAACAGCACTCCCTAAAACATGACCTGCTCACCCAATTCCCTCTCAGAGTCTGTTTCTGGAGAACCAAGCCTGCAACACAGTCCTAGCTCCCTGTAGCCTTTCTGAATTCCTGCTCACTCTGCACCAAGCAATCTGGCCTTTGAAATTTCCAGAGGACTGGTGGCTCCTGCCTCAGGATCCCTGTGTCTTGTTCCTTCAGCCTGTTAACACCTTTCCCCAGACATCTGCACTGCTACCTCCTGTCAGCTTCACCTAAATATTGCCTTCGAAACCAGCCTTCCCTGACCTCCTCACATAGGAAATAAAAGTTTTAAAATGGAACAGGTCTCATTTTTTTCTAATGCATTTGCTTATCTTTCTGGATATGTATTTCATTTTGAAGAAATGACTTCACTTGTTTTTAAAAGTTTGAAAATTGTTGTTTTAAATATATAAAGACAGTGCAGTGGTTAATACAGGCTTTGGGCTTAAACAGACCTGGGCTTGAATGCCCTAGCACTGCCACTCTGCAGATGTGTAGCCTGAGGACATCTCAGCCTTAGTTTCTTCAACTGTGAAGTAGGGATAACATAGCTTCTGCCTCTTAGAATGATTGAGGATTAAATAACTTTATGTAAGTAAGACTGTGAAAATGCAAAGATCCATGTAAATATTGGTCCTATGAACTACAAGTACTAAAAATAAAAAATACACTGCAGTATATTTGTATCCTGACTTACTGATCAGAGTCCTAGAAAATATTCTTTTCAACTATACTCACCCTGGAGTGGACAGAAAACTTTCAGCAAAGCAGAAAGGACTAAATCTATAAAGGAAAGTATCACCCCAAGGGCCCAGTAACAGCCTAAAAAATGTTGCTGGGAACACGGCAGAGTAATTGCCAACCAGTGTCATCTAGGTGGTTACATAGTACAAAATCCTAATTCTTAGCTCTTTTTTCACTGACTTCAATAACTACAGACTTTATTCTAGTCTCTAAGGAAAGCCTATGTGAAAAAAAATCACATAGTATTTTAAATATCTAGATGTATGTATGTTCATCAAAAGAGCTTTAAACTTTAAAACCAGCTATATGTCTGATTATCTGAGTTCAGAGACCTAAATCTTTTCACATGTATTTTTAACTCAAAGTGTTTATACTTATTTCTGTTTCTGTGATACAAAATAATGATAGTTGGCTTAAAACAAAACAATAACTTCTCCAAAATCTCAACAATTTTTGTTTGCTTTCATTCATCTGTCATTTGGTGGAATAAAACGTTCTTGTCCATGACCTGAAATCCACAAGCTTGACTGATTTCAGAGGTTCCATCAGAAGCCTACTCTGCCAGGCAGAGATGATAGGTCACCTATAAGCTGGCACTCATGAAAACCACAGAAGTCTGAGATTTACCATTATATTATGTATCTGCCTGATCGGATTTATTTGCAGATACCACTGTAGTCAATTTCCTTATTTCTAAAGAAAGAATCACATAAGCTTATGTTTAAATGAATTAATAACAATGATCACTGAAGAGATATCATTAAAAACCATCATTCTGTGATTATACATTAAAAAATAATAATGGCACCATTGATTAAAATAATAATAATAAATGGTGAGGTAAGGAATAAGGAGAGCAGACAATGACAACAGAGCGTGACTTTGCCAAGAGCTCCTATTACTGTGTGAGTAGAACGCAGGGCCTGGGTTCTAACAGAGACAAACTACTCCTACAGACTCAAGTGTGGTATCTAGAAATATTACTGCCCAGGGTGAGGCAAATTTGGGAAACTATCTTCTATTCTCATAGTGGGGGGTGTGTGTGCATGTGTGTCTGTGTGTCTATGTAGTTCCCCTTGGGAATCTCAGTGGCACAGGAGATTATTCAGGGTTTTCTTTAAAGTGAATTTCTGCTAAAAATTGCCTTAGCATTTCCATGTCCTCATCCAGGATGTCATGCACTCCTCTGGTTTTTCTTCACAGCTTTATACAACTTAATATTCAGGCTGGGGAAACTGGAAATTTCCTCCAGGTCAAACAACTCCTTAAATCTATCTACAAATTTATTTTCCTTCTCCAGCCTGAATTTCATGGCCCAGAGGATGATGGTGGTTTCTTTGCACAGATGGTCAAAGGTAATGAGGAGCTCTTCCAAGAATGGATGAGCGTAGACTACATCCGCTGCCAAAATATAGTCAAAATTATTAGAAGACCTGGGGAAGTTTGTGTCTAACGCTACTCCCCAGGAGAGTTCTTTAACCTGCGGCAAATGCTTGCTTTTCATTTTTGTGTTTCGGGAAATATTATATTGCAGGTTTCCAAGTAATTCGGGTAAATCTGTGGCCGTCACATGAGCACCTGTGAAACAAAGGACAGCAGAGAAAGTAACCCTCATGGGATAAGGTAGAACAATCAAAAGCTTCAAGCCAACATGCACTTTGCAATGCTGCACAATTGTTAGTACCTCCAAAAAAGACTAGTTAGTACCTATACACAGAAAGGGAATCCCTTTCAAATGGAGCTAATGCAGCTATATGCCTCTGTTTAAAGAAAAAAAGGAGAGAGAGAGAAAGAGAGAGACCCATGATACTTTTGCGCACCACTGCATTTTTTATGTTCTCCTGGTCTTTTGCTCTGGTATGTTTTGCTGTTACTATTGTTGCTGTTTTCTATTTATCTACTACACACCAGGAGAAAAATAATAGAGAGAAGGGGAAAGTCAAAATATTTGGCACCCTCATTGGAATGATGAAAGAATAGGTACCTCCCTAAAAGAATTCTGAGCCTCAGTCATGTGAGACCAAACGAGTGTAGGTAACATTGGACATCCTATAGTTGAACAGAAAGTGCTCTGTGAGAAGCGGAGGGAGGAAAGAAGACTTTTCAATGGCATTCGTGGAAAGTATCATGACGTCCATGCTGGCATTCAAGTTTTCGACTTGACCCATCACAAGTGTAAATCTTCCCACCAAAAGATGCTTAAAACCTAGTCACAACATATATATATAGTGTTCATAAAGCTACTGGTCATAGATGAAGATATAAACAATTTCCAAGATAAAACTGAATAGTGATGGCTTTTTCAGGAAGAAATACGGCAGAAGTAAATATGTAGAAATTTGGTCACTAAAGTAAACTTTGAGCAGTAGCAAAGCCTGAAAATAATCTGCAAATAAATCTAGGATTGGCCAATTCTGCAGCATCAGAAAAGCACAGACCAGGTAAAGAATGGGAAAGTAGAAATGAAAGAGAAGTCTAGTTGAGCTCAGACCAAATCAGAAGATACTCCTCTGCTCCAATACCATGAGTCTCCTGGCATCAATTGTATTTTGTGAAAATATTAAAATGGGAGGGGAATATGCCTGTCATATAGACATAGAAGTTTTTACATTCTACTATGGGTGGGTCTATCATTTTCAACAAATCTTTTTTAAATCTCAAGGTAAGGAACACACCTTTGCCCATATAGAATATAAACTCTCTCTTATACTTAATATCTTTGTGTCTAGAGAGATAAACACTACCACTTTCGGAATACTGACTAAACAAAGTTTCTATCTTTTAATATTTGTTTCCAGTTAGACAAACGGACTCAAGGGTCCAACTCCCCAAGCACAAATTCTGCTCCTAAGCCAGGCTTTCAGGTATAAATGGAATAGTGACTCTGCCTTACTAAATGGAATAGTGACTTTGGAAAACAATATCAGGACACAGCAACTTTAAAAATACATCTATTTGGGAAGATTTCAAAGGTCTTATAAATATCTAGTATTTGAAAGTTGTAAATTGCTACATGTTAAATTCCTCTCGAGATTTTAGAGTGGCAGGTGTGCAATTCTGAAGATCAAGGAAATCAGGATGGATCTGGGTAGTGCACATCAGAGAAGGAGTTAAACTAAGACAATGAGACAGATAACAACAATAACAAAAAGACTGAACTGAAATGGGCTCAGGCAGACACTAAAAACTATCACGTGCTTAGTTAGAAAAGATGCTGGTGAGAGAACTCGGGATCACAAAAAAAAAAACAACAACAACAAGGAGGATCAGCAGGGTGTAGTGGCTCACACCTGTAGTCCCAGTACTTTGGGAGGCTGAGGTAGGTGGATCACCTGAGGTCAGGAGTTCGAAACCATCCTGACCAACATGGTAAATGCTGTCTCTACTAAAAATACAAAAAATTAGCTGGTCGTGGTGGTGCGTGCCTGTAGTCCTAGCTACTCATGGAGGCTGAGGCAGGAGAATCACTTGAACCCAAGAGGCAGAGATTACAGTGAGCCAAGATCAGGCCACTGCACTCTAGTTTGGGCAACAGAGCAAAATTCTGTCTCAAAAAAAAAAAAAAAAAGAATGGAGATAAACTGTAAACTGAGAAAACAAATTCAAATACAAACACCTAAAAATAAAGCAGACGTGTGATTTTTATGTAATTCCTAATTCTCTCTCCCTATTCTAACAGATGCTTTTTCATAAAAGCATAGTGCTTGAAAAGTCAAAAGGAATCTACAGCTACATGGGGACACTGAAATGGCACTAAAATCTAAAGTACATCTAAATCAGCAGCAATAGAATCTGTCTCTGCCTGTTTCACATTTCTCCTCTCGCAACCAGAATGCTTCCATGCACCTCCTATTTAGAACACTCCATCTGAGGCTTGTGACAGTATTCCCCAAGAAGAATTAACACAGCTTAACACAGAAAACTGTGAAAGAAACCAGTAAAGAGACTTGAACATCTGTAGTTTCTGGATGAAGCCCATTCAAACAGTTAAGGAGTCGCAGATAGGCACAGGTCATAGTACACTAGACAGTAAAACAACTAAAGTTATTTAATCATTAAATTATCTGGCAGTCCCCCTACTCAATCAAAAATATTCACTTACCAAGTAAACTTGCCACAATGGAGACTAGCCCTGTTCCAGCTCCAATTTCAATCACATTTTTGTCAACCATATTATACTGCTTTGCATTTGTTTCCAGGAAATAGCATAGAACAAGGGCCTATGGAAGTTTGAAAAAAGAAAAAATGGGTGCTTGGCAAATAATAACAGAAAGTAAATTAAACTCTATTGGATAAATATGCCACTAATGTTATGTCTGCATGCACATGTGAGTAGGTAAGTGTATTCGTGTGTGTACCTGTACATCACTCCGAAAACGTCAACAAAAGTACATCCTCTGAGAGATTCAACATTTCTGCTAGAAAAACTCTTTGGAGATTATTGGGAGGAGAAAAGAGATTATTAAACTATGCAATTCAGCTGCTTAGGTTTGATCATTTGTAAAGGAAGCAACTTCTGATAATACTAGTCATTTCCAAGTAGTGTGTGCAATTGGGGCAGGTGGGGTGGTGAGTCCACTACTCTTCGTGGGACAGTTAGTAAAGGAGAGGGGGTCTTTGAGGACATTACACATGTGAGACTCATACAGACTTTATTGCAATTGTTGAACTCAAATGGAGCTGATAAAAGGGGAAATAAAAATGTTTACTACTCTAAACTCTTATTTTTAAAACTGAAGAAGTAAACAACATCCTTTATTAATCCTACAAATTTTGATAAAGTTGAAATAGAATTAATTGAGGCCCGATGTGTTGGCTCAGGCCTATAATCCCAGCACCTTGGGAGATGGAAGTGGATGGATTACTTGAGGCAAGGAGTTTGAAACCAGTATGGCCAACATGGTGAAACTCATTCCTACTAAAATTACAAAAAATAGCTGGGCGTGGTGGTGCACACCTGTAGTCCCAGCTACTCAGGAGGCTGAGGCAGGAGAATCTTTCGAACCCAGGAGATGGAGGTTGCAGTGAGCTGAGATCACACACTGCACTCCATCCTGGGCTACAGAGCAATACTCCATCTCAAAAAAAGAAATAGAATTAATTATAGAATTAATTGGGAGAAGTAATTTCCCAATCACATGATTTCTAAAGTGTAGCATTATTTGAGGTCACAAAGAAGGGGTATGGAACCTGTTTTCTTCTTCCAAATAGAGCATAATAATGAACAAAACTGGCTGGAAAAATAATTAGAATGTAACAAATTCTGTATGAAATTATACCGATGGCCAAACAACAGCACCGTAACAATCCATGGCCTCAGTAATTCGAATCTCATGACCAATAAAATGAAAGATTTCCCAGGAAATATTTGTTATCACGGTCGGAATAAAACATCTTGCCAGGATCTCTGTGACCACCTGCTTGTCATCATAGTCTTCTCTGGTCTCTGAAAGGAAAAGAAAAAGGTAATGGTTGTATTAATAAAACCATGAAAAGAGAAAAGAACCTGATGGAAATACAGCATTTCTGCTTAGTCTAAGGAGCATTGGAATATTCATTGACTTTAGGAGAATAATAAGGTAAAGTATTTGAAAATGACTCACAATGTAAGTTAATACTTCCATTTAACAGGGTGGCAATATATTTATTATTTTTATGGGAGTTGAAGTCACAATTATCTACTTCTGTAGTGCTACATGCAACAAAAATAACAGATATGCTTTTTTAAAGCAATATATTTTAAGAGCCACCAATCAGTTCATCTAGAGTAAGAAAAAGATTGGTGATGGAATATAAGAACTAAAGAGCTTTTCCACAGCAAAAGAACCTATCATCAGAGTAAAAAGGCAACCTAACAGAATGTGAGAACTTTTTGCAATCTCTCCATCTCACAAAGGACTAATTTCATAATCTACAAAGAACTTAAAGTTACAAAACAAAAAACAACAATCCCATCAAAAACTGGGAGAAGGATATGAACAGACACTCCTCAAAAGAAGACATTTAGGCAGCCAAGTAACATATGGGGGGAAAAAAAGCTCATCATCACTGGTCATTAGAGAAATACAAATCAAAACCACAATGAGATACCATCTCATACCAGTTAGAATGGCAATCATTAAATTGTCAGGAAACAACAGATGCTAGAGAGGATGTAGAGAAATAGGAATCTTTTACACTGTTGGTGGCGTGTAAATCAGTCTAACCATTGTGGAAGACAGTGAGTGTGGCAATTCCTCAAGATCTAGAACCAGAAATACTATTTTACCCACCAATCCCATTATTGGGTATACACTCAAAAGATTATAAATCATTCTACTATAAAGACACATGTACACATATGTTTATTGTAGCACTATTCACAATCTCAAAGACTTGGAACCAACCCAAATGCCCATCAATAATAGACTAGATTAAGAAAATGTGGCACATACTTACCATGGAATATTATGCAGCCATAAAAAAGGATGAGTTCATGTCCTTTACAGAGACATGGATGAAGCTGGAAACCATCATTCTCAGCAAACTAACACAAGGACAGAAAACCAAACACCACATGTTCTCACTCAAAAGTGGGTGTTGAACAATAAGAACACATGGACATAGGGAGTGGAACATCACACACCGGGGTCTGTTGCGGGGTGGGAGGCTAGGGGAGGGACAGCATTAGGAGAAATACCTAATGTAGATGATGAGTTGATGAGTGCAGCAAACCACCATGGCATGTGTATACCTATGTAACAAATCTGCACATTCTGCACATGTACCCCAGAACTTAAAGTATAATAATAAAGAAAATTAATACTGAAAAAAAAAAGAACCCAACTCTTCATATTGGTGACACAGTGCAATTCCAATTGTTCTGTGTGCCAGCCACGGTGCTGGGTGATGGAATACAGTAGTTAGCCAAACAGACATGGTCCCTACCCTTGGAAAAATTAGAACTACACAGACACTAATGTGGTATCTCATGGCAACCCTGTGAAGAATTGTTGGACTGGATGAAAGTGCTTTTCCCCCGTATTCTCCAGGCACTCGCATTGGTGCCCACTTGGATAGACCTTTCTCATAAATGGTATGTTCTCAGCTTTGCCTCGATGAACAGTTTTGTCAATGGTTTGACTAACTGATGACATCACAATTATAACATTTTCAAAATATATAAATGTGATGAGGACAAGTATAATAGAAAACTAAATGTGATGCAAACTATCTTGAGTTATAACAATGGGTTGGCCTTAACAATGTTAAATTTAGTAAGTCTAAAGATGGTATTCAGCCTGGGTTTAGCAGCACTGTATAGTGGGTGGGGACAGATATCTACATTTACTTGGCCACAGGCTCAATATGAGTTAAAGTTTAATATGACCATCAAAAAATCAGTGCACGTAGCTCACATTAAAAATATAATTTCTAAAATCAGGGAGGTAGAGGACTTATTTTATACCACTCAGATTACACTTGGACATCCAGTTAGGGAAGGCCCACTTTAGAGGGACGCTGAGAAATTGTAGCAAATGGGAAGTGAGAAATCTTGAAACTCAGCCTTATAAGGACAGTTTTGGGGAGTTCAACACGTTCATCAAAAAGAAGAAAAGACTTGAGTGAACACAAGAGTTTTCAAAATTGAAGGACTAGAAAATAGAAGGTTGGGGTACATACATGTGTTTGTGTGTGTGTCTGTACATGTGTGTCCTACTTAGAATACAAACAGCATCATGTACTCCTCGAAAGAACTCCAACTTAACCACACCCCACAAGAAGGGCCCAGCCTACCACCAACCTCTACCACTACTGCAACATTTACCCTTGGCAGAGATGCAGGGGGAAGCAAAGAAATTGAAATCTGGTATTCCTCAGCAAGAGTCAGCTCTTCTAATATTTTTCACCGTGCTTCACCTTAAACAACTGTATGCATTCACATTCAGGAAGAGCTCTAAGAACCAAATAATATTGTTAATGTGTTTCATTTAAACTTTAACTTCCATTTCACTATACGCACTTGCCTTGCTAAGATCGGGGGTGCGGGGGAAGGGCAACGTTTGCTGTGGAAGTTCTTTAGGGAAAAGTAGAGAACATTAATTGCTTCCTTGACCTTTAACTGTATTTGTCCTCTTGGGCCTCCTTGCATACTACTTGTAAATGTGGCACTTCTATGACAAGTCACCTAAGGTATCAGGGATTAATAGATGTTAGAGTACGCTAAGTCCCAGGAGCATCTTCAAAAGTTACAGTCTTTGATATAAAAACTTTGCCAGTGAATATTTACTGATACAACCTGACATCTTTGACTTTGCATGTTCTTTTAAAGGTTAGTTGGCCCGATTAGTGCTGCTGTCCTAACAACTACAAAGGGATAACAAATAAATTCCTGGCTTTTGACTGTCTCCTTCTGAAGAGTTACTTCTTTCTAAGAATGACCACATCTTTATGTTCATATGAAAATGAGATTTTAAAATATATAAATATATTATAACTGAAAACTACTTACACTCCTAAAACAAAGGACCTTCAAAGAGATTTCATGAAATAAATATAACCACTGCTAATTGCATATACACTTTTGAAAGAGCACAACTCTGTCACTCATATGGTAATGCAAGATCAGTTATCCACCTAAGATGATCATGTATCACAGAAAGCATTGTCAGGTGGAATAAAATTTAATTGATAATGCTTTATATTAATATGCTGTTTTGCATTTAAATACTATATGAATACTACAAGCATCCAGTAAGAAGTAATCTTTATAAATTAGCATAATTTATAGCATGAAACCAAAATAAACTAAACTTGGCTGCTTAAAATAATTTGTCTAAAAGGGAATATGCTCTTTGTAAGTACTATGCTGATGAAATGATAAAATTTCTTTTGGAGGAATGATGATCAAAATGAAATTATGACAAGGAAAAAATAATTTGTCTAGAAGTAAATATGTAAAATTTTAAAAGCAAACGTACGCACGTAAACACATAATTATTTCCATCTTAAAACACTGCTTGCTGTTTTCCAGTGTGAACTTCTATTTAAAGATTTTGAGGCAACAGTTTCTGTGCTTTTTGTTGTTCTTGGGTTGGTTGGTTGGTTTGTTTTGAGATAGAGTCTGGCTTTGTCACCCAGGAAGTGCAGTGGCAAAATTCCAGCTAGCAACCTCCACCTCCTGGGTTCAGGCAATTCTCATGCCTCAGCCTCCTGAGTAGCAGTGACTACAGTCATGAGCCACCATGCCTGGCTAATTTTTGTATTTTTTTTAGTAGCGATGAAGTTTCACCATGTTGCCCAAGCTGGTCTCGATCTCCTGAGCTCAAGTGATCCTCCCACCTCAGCCTCCAAAAGTGCTGGGATTACAGGCATGAGCCATCGCACCTGGCCTTGAGGTGATAGTTTTAATAGTAATTATTTACTTAAATCAAGAGCCGTTTAATATTACGCTCTAACAATAACACCACCCATTTCAAGATTGATAATAAGAATCTCTAAACTAGAATCTAATGGAAAGAGCTGTACTATTATAAAGGCATTTTTACAGCAGCATTGCCATAAAAAAGGAAAAGTCTATGCTCCAAATAATTTACAAAGAACGTCAAGAGATTGAGACCATCCTGGTCAACATGGGGAAACCCCGTCTCTACTAAAGATACAAAAAATTAGCTGGGCATGGTGGCGCATGCCTGTGATCCCAGCTACTCAGGAAGCTGAGGCAGGAGAATTGCCTGAACCCAGGAGGCGGAGGTTGCAGTGAGCCGAGATCGCGCCATTGCACTCCAGCCTGGGTAACAAGAGCGAAACTCCATCTCAAAAATAATAATAATAATAATAATAATAATTTACAAAGAACATGTCCCTTAAACTGCATGCTTAGTTAGTTGTTGAATATGAGTCAGATATTGAGAAGATTAATGAATTAGTAGATAATCTGGCTTTTAAGATTTGAAGAGCAATTTCCTGCAAATATTAATAGCATTGTTATACAATGGAATTCTAATATACATTTCTGAAGAATACTTTTTCCATATATATTCTTTCCTCATTATCTAGCACTTAGCCCCCAGGACAAATAACAAACACCAGATAATGTTACACAAGATTCTGCACATCAGTTTCCCTATATGAAAAGCAGAAAACTTCTGATAACTGCACCTTCAGAAAAAAGCTACCTACTATAATTTTAGAACATTAATTTATTGATGAATTTAATATTAAAACACAAATACTAAAATAGATTGTAAATAAAACATAAGACAGAGTATTACAATTATGTTGCTATCTTGGGCTTATCTATTTTAATGCTTTTGATACAAGAAAAGTCTTAACACCATTTTCCTGCTATTCAGTCTTTGCTGATAGTGAATAAAATCTACCAGGTGCTCTTGTTCTCCTGAGAATTAAAGAGGTTTCAAGTATGAAGTGAAAAGTAGCAAGATTCTGTCACATTATGATGATGAT